CAACAAGAGAGAGTGACATTTCCAATGTATTTATATGAAAACTCAGGAAGGGATCTCTGTTCTTTAAGTGATATTAGAACAGTCTATGTACAAAGAGAAGCTTCTAGTGAGGATTCTCAGCCGTAACTTACTCTTGATCATACATCAAAAACAAAGAGAGGTGTTTGACTACACGCTTCCTAACCCAATTGAATGAGACTGAGGAGCAAGGTAATTAATTCCCTGTGTTGGCCAAGCAGAGCAATCAGGGACAAAGGTAACTGCTCCTCAAAATGGGATTGTGCACGCTGTCTACCTCCTTGGTATGATAGACTTGATATTACAGTGTCTTAGTTAAAACAGTTATTGTTTAAAGTTGGTATTTTGTTATCACAATTAGAGGGAGAGAGATAAGTGATAATCTTGGAGACTGAATTATTCTCTGCAACCAAGACCAGTCTGGTAGGAGCAGAGGGAATGCTTAAAACTCACACCACATCAACACAGTAACACCTGCTGCAGCAACCAATTGTGATTAACAAATTTAAATTTACGAAAATTATTTACCAACTTAAGCACTTCCTACCAGGGAGTTATTGTTGAGCATTAACTAATGAGATTATGCGTTATCTATGTAAAGAATCATATATTATCTTTGTAATGAATCCTAATGAAGATTAAAGAAAAATCTCATTACTTCAAATTGTTGTTCTGGCACGAGATTTCTAAGATTTCTATTAAAGCCCTTTCTCGATCACGTGGACGTGAATGAAAGGTCAGATCTTTGACTTATAAATCTCCATTTCTCTGTACCAGCTGCACTTAAAGGGCACAGAGCTATTTCCATGCATCCAATATTCCCTCGTCTGGGGGAATACTGTGACGTTTTCGGGATAGGATGGATTCAGAAATGAGGAGGATAAATAGATCAGCTCCTGTGGACTTCCACTACTACTATTACTGAGAGAAGCTTTGAGACTTGATTCTGTTAAGAACTTCTTTAGGATCTTAAACAGCCCTTTTTCAATTTACCTTATATTGGTGGTAGTTCTCAAGGTGCACTGTATTTGACAGTTTCTTTGTATCCAAGGAGGCAATTAAAAAGTTCTGACTTCACACATTTTTGTGTTCCTGTTGTCTAGAAAACAAGAACATGTATCTTCTGCGTCTTTAAATGAGGTAGTGGGATATCCTTAGTCTCTGCATATCTGAAAAGGCTGCTCATCCACCCTGAAAGTGCAATCTGTACACACAGTAGGGCACTGAGGCAGACAGGAAAAGCGTATCTGATTGAAAAATAGTCAAAGGTATGTCAAAAGTCTCAGTCGGCACTGTGCTGCCAATCTAGCTGTGTTCTGCTGGTTTTGCATGTCCAGACTTCCTATTAATTACCTCCCAGTAGGAGTTCTGCATAAAGCGATGAGGTCAAAGAAATTTTCAGTCACGAAGGGAAAGCAGAATATCACAGTCTACCTCTGTCATGCAGGGAGGAGCACCTTGCCCATGCTGATTCAGTACAGCAGCTGACAACAGATATTATTTGTTAATTACTGACATATCCAAGGGGTCCTATGGCTTGACAGAACCCATAACAGAAACATTATCTACTTTGTTGTATCTCATCATGGAACATATGGTAGCAGTTTGATGTAGTACAATTTGTAAATTTTTTTTAATGTATTCCTACATTGAATTCCTCACTCCTTTTTCTGTTGCTTCTTGATGCGTCAGAACGTGTGCTTTCTCGTCTTCTTTTTTTTTTTTCTAGTATCCAATTACTCTCTATTTTCTGATACAGTAGAACTACTCAGAGGTACTGATGTATCTTGTTTGCCAATTCACACATTCTTTTTCACCCTGAAAAAATATCAACCAGATGGTTTCCAAAAATGCCAATTATATCTAATATATTGTTTTAAATTAAAGTACAACTGCAAAATGCCTCACATCATATTAACTGCTTGAAGCTATACGTATCACTTTGGATACACAAAGAACTGTGTGTTCCATCACTGTATTAAACAAAAGCCTACTGAGAATTTGAACTGCTTCAAGATAAATCTGAGTGAATAGCTAAATCGTATGCTACAAAGTATTCATGTTTATCTAATGCTCAGATCTGAAAAGCAGATCCTTCAAACTGTTCAACAGCTTAAATACCACAGTATTAAGGACATACTGCTTTTTTATTTCATCTTACAGTTAAGAAATAGACTTGCATGTGTACATCAATGGAGACAAGACACATATTTCTGGTGACAAATGTTTGAGGTGTTATCTGCTTTGGCTTGTACCTGTAAAGTTACTTAACCATATTAAATGATATTTCAGTTCCTACTTCTCTATAAGCTCACATTCCCACTTCGGAAGGCACTTGGGGATCTCTATTGCTGAAAATTAATTTTCTTGTAACATATAAAATTTGGAACGTTAATAACCATAATTTAGTTTCCTACTAGAAATTGAGATGTAGAAACTGTCACTGAACTTGATATGTGCAAATGACTTAATTCATGGATGAATTAGCACTCGAAAAAATAGCAAAACAAGTGAGCAAAAAGGAAAAAAAATTAGAAAAATTAGGTATTTAAAAATTAGTATTAACCTGATAAGCTCTTTTCTTGCTATATTAGCTTAACCTGTAAATATTTTTCACAGAGTGAAGCTATACAATATGAATGTGAAATCTACTTTACAATAACAAAGAGAGGCCTTGTATTTGACAGCTCTGGCAGACGCTAGTTGGAATCGTTATAAAGGGGCTTATGTCATCCAAAGTTGATGACTTAGAACTCTGACACCAAGTAAAACAAACTCTTGATGTACCTCAGCTGTTTCTGAACAACATGTAGCATCAGGAATAATATTATTTATCAAAATATTCTTTATAGGAAAATAAACTAGTTAAGTTGGAGCTGAAACACGACGTAAGGGTAAAGTTGCCAGACATACAAATTTCTAGAAAACTGGGGGAGGGCAGGTCTTTGTGATCCAACAGAGACTCCAAAAATATCACAAGCTCAACACAAGGAGGTGTAAAGAGCAAAAGTCCAAGTGCAAAAAAAAAAAAAAAGTATATAAATCTTCACATACAACGAACAAGCACAAACCACCGTATGCCTGGCATTTGGGAAAAAAAGCAAAAAGCACAGAAGCTTACCCTGTTTTGTAAGAGGTACTGCATGCACACAGCCAGGGCAGAGCACAATAGTGGCCAGCAGAAAGCTCTATAGGAAGGACATCTAATGCTGCAATTAATGAATGACCTAAATGAATGAAACAATTATAAACTGGATATGAGTAGGGATACAAGATCACTTTAAAAATAAAGACAGACATATTTAGCAATGACAAATACAGTGTATTGGATGAGGTATAAGCACTTGCTGAGCAAATTTAAAACACTGAGGGAAAAAATGTTGAAAATGGCAGATATTGTAAATTGGAAGTAAAAAGGATGTTATCATCATGATACTTAGAAACCACACATAACAAAAGCCTGCAGTTACAATGCAGATCAAAAAATGGCAAAAAAAATTCAGAAGCTTAGCATGACAAACACACATACACACAGTGATTTTCTAGAACAAAACCAAGCAGGCTTACAATATATCAAAACATCAGTTATCTATTATTTTAATTTTAGGAATACCATAAGTTTACTTACGATACTTAAGAGGTCATTTTGAAACACTGAAGTGCAGTAGCGAATATCTTATTTTAAACATTATCTTAAAATTATCTTTGCTTTTTCATTCGACTGGTCATTTGTACAAACCTTTTCCTTATGTCCTTAAAATTTCTGGGAAAAAAACCAAGCAGTAAATCCTGCACAGGTCTCTTCCTGATAGGAGAAAAACTTTCAACTCTCTAGGCCCACACAGAAATGCCAAGCGACTACAGCTGCCCAAATGCAACCTGAATCTTTGGCTGGATTCATAGAGAAATCAGTAGTCCCTTTAAAAGATCTTGTTCTTCCTGAGATTTTGAAAGTGATGATTAAGCAGCCGCATCTCGGTGTCTGGACAAGGCAGTGGGATACAGTTAAATTCAGCCAGGCACTGGGTTTGCCACATACACTTAAGGGTCATTGCATAAACCCGTTTCTTTCCAGTTGTCACTGGCCCAGGATTTTGAATCTATAACATTGCACTAGTTCTCCTTCTCCTAATGATCAGATTTTACTCTCCCCACAGCAGTTCAAAGGCTCAGACTTGTGATAGACCAGGAAATAAAGTTCAAGTGGCCAAGAAACACCCATTCAGAACACATACTTGTTCCACAGTGCTGAAACTCTGTACATCTGGTACAGTGAGATCTTTGACTTCATACAGCCCCAAAACAAGCCCCTATCGATAATCTGGGACTATTTGTGGTCTAATATCTCAAACAGACAGAAATGGAAAAAAACTATGGCTTGAAATATTAATTAAAACTTTGTAAGCATAATTTTGCTTAAGATCTTAAATAATTGAGATATGAAAAGCTTATGCTCTGTAACTATCAGTAGTTAGTATCAGCATTGGAATTTTTCAAAAAGTCTCATCCACATTTGCAAAGAAACATCAACATCCTCTGGATTACCAAGACAAATTAAGACAAAAGTTGTCATCTAACTAACCTTCCACAGGTTTTAAAAGATGCAGATGCCTAAACATCACAATGGATTTTACAGTAAGTGTCTTTCTGTAATTTTTTTTTTTAATTAGTTCAACTAATTAGATCTCTGTATGATGATAGTGGCTTGAAAATTTTTAATTGAATTAATCAGCAGACTATTCTGTGAGTATGAGGAATCTACTAACACTATATTTTTTAAATTATTTTTTAAATTAAACTGAAATGTGCAAAATTTCTTTGAGTAAATACTACTTCTCATGTAATGAAATAACAAGTCTTTAAGAAATTGAAGTCTGATACCTACATACATCATTGTAGAAACACACTGAAAAAATGAACATAAATCACGGAAGCAATTACAAAACAGGTGAAAAGAACAAATAAGGTATAAGCATGCTCTATTTCAAACAAGAAAAGATGTTATTTTATTTTCCTCTTTGTAAAGTAGTATATTTCAACCAGATTACAACAAAATTACCACAGGATATTTAAAAAAAAATACAAGAAGGTATTTAGAAAATTATATATATACACATTTGGTTAAAAATTCTATAATGTAAACATTAGCATAACAAGTTAAAATAATATTACGAACAGTTTATTAATACTTTTGTGAATACTGTACATATATATGCTACAGAATTAATACTATCTTTCCTACAGATTAACAGGAACAACAACAAAAAAATTCCCCCCCAAATCAAAAGGGAAATCCAACTTCTTCAGTTGTCAACAGGTTTGGTCCCACATACAAAATACTTAGTTATTTATCTCAGTGTTAAGTAAGAAAGAAAGCGTAGCCTTTCAGAATTAGATTTTAAACCACATTTACCTATGATTTTTAGTATCTTAAATAATTAATATTCCAACTCAAAAAAACAACTACCACAGTTTAGCGTCTGTCGTGGCATGGACGTCATTTCTGAAATCTTGTTAAAGAAACTGATTCCCCCCACATGGAAGTGCAATACAGTTGTTTAGGTGCAACAAAAAATATTTTTTTAAATCCAGATATTTGCAGCAATTTGTAAATCTGGAAAATTAATTCCTCTCTAAACATTTCAGTACTGTTTTCTAGTATAGATTCATGCCATTATTAACAAAAAACTAAGCCATTATTAACTAGAAGTATGCTCTGACTATTTTTTAAAACAAAATTTTATAAATAATCTAAGTTATCTATAACTGGACCAAAAAAGCACAGTTAGTGCAGAATAAGAAGTAAATGAAATGTAAGTATTGGACCACTGTTTTTTATCTGCCATTCAATATCTGAAATACAAAGCAGGTTAACTGATATTTTAAACTGTATTCTACATTTCATATGTATAATTTCATATATTAAAGTGATTCTTTCGATACATAATGGTAAGAAACTACTGAAATTGCTAAATAATCAAATTAATATTCCATGTGATGCAGAGTGCTGACTGAAATATGCTAACCTACAGAAATTGAAGGAGATAAAGTCTTTACTTTCTTGAGTTTGACCACATCTCCAGAAGTGATTCAAGCTCCAACACAGAAGTAGTATTATTGTTTCCAAGGAGAAAATTGTGTTAAATAAATATGTTAAACAAGGTTTATTTTCATATATGGTAGAGTTCCAGCTAGATGAGCACAGTGTTGTTGTCAAGGGCATATAGGAGCAGAATTTAGTAAAAAGTCTTTTGCTTTCTTTTAAACAGCTGTTCCACAGGTTTCTCATAGTAGTTTCAAGCAGGTAACTGTGTTTCTGTCCACAGGTATATAACATCTGTCCTCAGATGTTCAAGATATTAGATAAAAAATGTTTGGGGGTGGGAGGTTTGAGCCTTTGGAATGGCATGAGGCATACAGCAGAACTGAGATCCCTGTGTGCTTTGAAGCAAAAAAACCAACATCCATATCTGAAAGTACTAATAACTGATTCTGTTAACAAAATATCCTGTTCTTAAATCATTAATGTGTCCTGACAGACAGTATCATTTGTTCTCTTGGGGCTCACCAAGTCTCATTTATTATTAGCTTGCTGCTCTGAGTCAGTCAACCCCATTTGTTAGTAGGTTCTTATTAATTTGACAGCTACCATGCAGATATTGTTCCATACAATAAAACATGGCTTTATAACAAAGAAATGCAGCTTAGCAATAGGTCACAATTTTGAGCCAGTGATCTTTAATACCATTATGCCCTTTCTTTAAATACTTGTATTAATCCAATCACAATGGTTTATGACTTGCAGTAGATTCTGTAAGATAATATAATTTGATTACAACTATCACATCAACAATTCCATAAAAAAGACTGGCTTTGAAATTATTAATCTCCCTAAGAGTATGTGACTTAATGGACGTATCAATTTAAGCCATAACCTAAATATGGCTTAAATAACTATGTCAATAGTTATTTACTATATTGTTTATAACTATGTCAATATCCTGCCTCATATAAACCTTGGAATTTTATTATTATTATTGAGAAAGTTGATTTAATGCAAAAGCTAAATCGATACAATGCATTTTCTATAGTGAATGACAGAATCTCTAAATAAATGAGATTCTGAAAAGCCATAGTCAATATACAATGAATGCTGACGATTACACCAGCAGAAGATGGAAGAGTCTTGCCTGCCCCGTGTTTCTTTGGAAATTGTTCATTTTGCATGTGATTGGAGAACAGCATAAAAAAGTAATGCCACTTATTTTTACCAATTTTTTTGAATAGTCACTAAAGGTTCCAGATGAGCAGTCCTAGAGACCTAATATGTCTAAAGACAAAACAGGAGTGAAATGGAAACAATATTACAAATGCCCCTCTGCTGTCTCATCCCAGGCCGTAGCCCCAGGAACAGCCCCAGGGACCAGCTGTCTCCCCGCCTCTGTTCTGTGATTACGGGACTGTTTATGGAGCCAAGGAGAACTGGCTGAACCCATCAACCAAAGGGGCACCAGCCACTGACCACATGTAAGGATCCAAGAGCTATCAGTCAGTACCAAGGGAAATTCGGTTTGTACAAAAATTGTAACTACATGAATGGAATTAGGTGACATAAGATAAACAGATAAAATCATTCAATTGATAGCATCATCGTTACAGGTATTTTATAAGAATATATAACTATAATTTATAACTATGTGGGATTCTTAATACAAGCTGACCAACCTTCTTCTACAGTCTTTGCTGATTCTGGTAAATAAACAAAAGAAGTGGGATTTGTGACAGACAGGTACAATTCTCTCAAAGACAGGGCATTTCAGAATGTCTTGAGGTGCTAAAAATGTGGGCATTCCTATCACTAGGTATCTACTTGCAGTCAAGCAAGTACCTCACTGATCTTCACAATAACCAGGTGCATAAAGCAGGAAAGCTATCTTGTGAAAAAAAGCTTTCATTTAATTATTTTCCGAGATTTTAGAGAAACCACAGATGAGCTTTTAAATGGATTAGTAATGGACCCATTACGGTATCTCGTATCACAAAGTGAATGTTGTTTGGAGACTGTAATCTTAGGAGCTGATACGCAATTCAGCTAAAGTTAACAAAGAACGATTTGTACACAGTAAACAAGTTTAGTATTTTTATGTGATCTACATACATACATTAAAAATTACAAGACGCAAGATAATCAGGAATGAAATAATTTTGAGATACATAGATACAAAAAATTCCTTCTAAACAACTAAAAAAAAAAGTACTTTAAATTTAGTCTGTACTAAGTGAGATTTCTTACCATTTGCAACTTTCTGAATAAGGAGTGCTTTAATTTGTGAATTATTTCCTGAAAATGAATACAGCTTCATGTAAGAAACGGATACATCACAAAGGTTTCCACATAGTGTTTTCTTTCAGATTTACTTGCAATTCAATGTTAATAGATATGTGTCTAAAAATGTGAAAAAATGAATTTAGAATTGTTTCAAAGTAGGACCATCATTATAGCTACTTTTCTTTCCAACAAAGCCAAACTAAACTATTATCAGGATATCAGACTGATGAGTTTGGAGAAGAATTAACTGACAAGCTACTCACTTTCCTTTCTTCTTAAATAAATGTCCCACTGTAGTTTACACAAAACACCAACAGTAATTCATCTTTAATAAAAACAAATCAGCTAGATCCCAGGCTGGCCTTTTGGATTTTCTGTTTATCTATTTATTTCGTAAATGAGGTCTCTTACTGACTAAAAAATACTGCTTCATTTCTGTGACATGATTTTACTTTGTGGTATTTAATCTACTAAAATTTCTGACCTGAAGAGTGAATCCCACTCCTCTTCACCACATTTTTCTATTCAGTGCAAGCTGTCAGCTACCTATTTTGATGGCAGGAACCCAGCACGTGGGGCTCATACCTGACACTGACCCACTGATGCTTCTCCCTGTGTGCAACAAACCCCTGCTCGCTCAAAAAGTGCCACAGAAAACAACCAGGCCACTTACCTGCCTGCCCAATATATAATGGTCAGAGGTTTGCAGAACAGAAGTTCCAGTTTGCTACAACTTTAGTATAGCACTGAGGGAAAAGATCTGTTATTAAATCAGCTTGTTTTTTCTGCAGGGTAATATTAGATTTCAGTATCTACTGACGTGAGAATTTAATAGAATGAATGGATAATAAAATTACAAGATACATCAATTTAAGTAACATTATCCAAAAAAACTTCTGAGAAGAAAGATGTTCTTACACAAAGGAAAACCACAATACAATTGATAGAGAATTTGAATGTACACTGCTTAAACTTAATGAAGAGAAAAAGATAGCTAACATATAATTAACTGCCTACGGCAGCGCAGCTAATGGATACTGAACTGGATTCCAGTTAATCCGTGTCAAGACTTCCATCACTTGTAATAATTCTTGTCAATTTTTTTAGTTACTCTTACAATAGTACCATTACAAATGACTTTTCAATAAGAGGTGATGGGTAACAGGCACTTTCATTACAGGCAATTTTTAAGTATCACCATGTGAAGGGTTTTATAAAATCAGAGGAAGAATTCCACACTGCCCTGTTAATGATGAACTGTTCTGTAACATTAGCAACAAATTAGTAACAAAATATAACCCAAGACTTGAAAACACCATTTTGTACCATGCTAATTTTGTACATCCTTGTGGCGGTTTGTAGAAATCAGTAATATTGCACCCAGCCATACAGCAAGACTGAAATTCCACTAAAAATTATTACATTCTCTGATTTTAAAGAATTAGTTCCCACAAATGAAAGCTATTGAGAATATCTAACTAGAAATGTACAAAAGCTATTTTCCACCTGTAATGTTTTTCCCTTGTCGTCTACTTTGTCAAGATTTTAAAGAACTTTGTGTGTCAGAGGTTTACAATAAAAAAAACTCAGTCTTTCTATTTACAAAAGGTAATAAATTAGTGAGGTTCTTTTGAGCACATCTTTCTGACATGTTAAGTAGTGATAATCATAACTGTTCTTCTAAGGAAAAAAAATTGTCTTGACATGATACCCATGTCTCTCTGGAACAGAAAACTGTACATGTAGAAAGGGAGACAACACAATACAAACAAGGAATTCATAGTAACACAAAGGAGAATATGTGCAATGCAGCTTTATAAAATAAAGAAAATGCCTATCAGTTTGCTGAGCCCTCGTGAAGAGCCCTCGTATTCTTTTGAGAAAGTGATTACTGCCTTCAAAAGTAGTTAATCAGGATATGACCCTTAGTAATGAATGTCTCTTTTCAGGATTTAAGATGATGCAGCTGTAGTCTCTTCAGGAGCTTAAATTATAAATACAGGCTAGGAAGGAATCACAGAACAACTTAAAGTACGTGGTGCCGATATTCACAATTACGAAAAAGGGTCAAAGATCACCACTCTGAGGTTCCAGGCTTCGTGGCTCTCTTTGATGGCTGCGAGATAGTTTGGGGAAGCGCGTAGTCCCTCTCGAGCGATTGCTTTTACTTACTGGTTCTCCAGAAGGTGGGATATCACTAAGAAGACAAGAAATAAAGACAGAAGTAGCTAGTTTATGTTATATGTAAATTATTCTACAGTTATTCCAAACATGGAAAAAGCAGATGTTATGAGAGCCTGGCACACAACTGCAAAGTACAGCACACATCTTCAACTACACAGAACTGCATTCTTTCTACTGGTATCTCAAGTGTGAATTACAAATGGGCTCTTTCAAAAATGAGAACTAGTAGAACTTTCAATACTTTATGGAAGATTGCAAATTACAGGATAAAAGCGTATCTCTATGAGTTGCAGTTCAGAAATGGTGGGAAAAGCATTTTGAAGTGATAAAAGTACAAGCAAAATAGACAAGAGCTTGGATGATGCTCTACTTAACAATCCTCTAATTATGGATGGATGTATCATTACATGATGAAGTACATTGTAATACATCCCTGTTGGGAATTCTTCAATCTCTTCTGACCCACAACAGACTATAGTCTTACATGAATGAGCCTTTTGGAAAAGACTCCAAGAAGAAGTACATTAAGTTCAACAACAAGCAGTAACAGAAAATTCCAGCTTACCTAGGTGATATTCAGAGGCTATAGACTCCTCGGAAAACTACAGTATAAAGGGATAGCATTGTACTTTTGCCATTCTTTTAGAGGACTCCACATGGTTTTTAATTATACTGCTTATATACAGATCAATAAATAAAACTAAATTTTGCATTTTGCAACTCAGGCAATAAAATTACACAGTGTATAACGCCAAGCTTATTTTTGTAAGTTAAAAAACCCCATATAATATCTCTCTTCAGAGTGAGTTAACAAGTCCATAAGGGAGGAATTGCCCATCTGCAGTTCTTGCCAGATTAAACAAACACCGATATATTTTAAAACAGCCAGTGAATTTACTTTATGCAGTTCTTTTTCTCCTGCAGAGTGACCTTCATGACAGGTCAGGCAGCCCTGCAAAAGCCACAAGCACAGTCAGGCTCCACTCGAGCAGTTTGAGCACCCACAGGGCTGAGGTCTCAGCAAAGCAAAAGCCTTTAACGTGTCCTGGGACTGAGGGGAGAGTTCACTTGCAGGAAGCAGAGCTGCAAGACAAGGCAGCGCTATCACTGGGAGCTTTGCAACTACAATCCGTACATTGGGTGTTACTCACTAAAATAATAATAAGAAAACAATATAGAAAAAATGTGTTCAGATGCTAAACATTAACACAAAATAAAATTATGGTTTTTAATGGCAGTATATTTTACTTGTCTAAATTTCTGAGCAGAACAGTCTAAAATAACCTTAGTTAAAATAATAAAGGATTTTTCTTTCACATTAAAAAATTGCTTAAAATACCTGTCGTATATAGCCTCCTCTTCGTTAATAACAAGATTAACAAGTTAGATCTTTAATTCCTTGTTTTTCTTGTCACTAAAATAAAAGCTCTAAAAATTAATTTAGCATATGCTATTAATTCTTGGTAGCCAGGGATAATTGGACTTCCAACGCTAGTCCTATGATTTCTTATTTTGAAACTCAGCAATGCTATCTAACTTGCTGTAGAGAATTCTGATCATGTGAATCCAATTTCAGCTGTACTCATTAGCATGGATTTCTTTTAGTAACATGAATATTATTACTCATTATTTTTATACTATTTATAAAATTGCAGCAATGCAGCGTTGATACTCTAATGCTTGTAAAATTGATCATGGGATACTGGCTTCACAGGGCTGTGATTCTGTGTTAAATATGTATTCTTCAGATCATGTAAACATAAAAGCTTCTAAATATCAAATATACAATGGAACAAAATTAAATTTTCACCTCATTGGGCTTTTCTCAATCTAAAATAGGTTAATTTACCAGCATGATGGCCAGTGCTGATATTACTTCAGCTTTATCAGACAGAGAGAGAAATACATTATGGATACATGGTGGTTTGCAGAAGAAAGCACATTGTTATGTGCAATTCCTACAATTTGGTGATTGCTTTACTGAAAGTACATTTTAATACACAAGCTCCTCCTGCTGGCATGTCCACAAAATGACATTAGTGTCAGTCCAATGGGAAGTCACTTCTCCCTTCTGGAGGAAAAATGCCATTCAAAGAAAAAAAGCACAAAAGGTGCAAAATTAATTCTCCTAAAATGAAGAGATGTGAATAAATATCAGTCTGTCCTCATAGGAAGAGCTGAGGTAATAAGATCATCTTAGAACGATTACATTAACTCCAGCATCTGTGAATGAAGGACAAAAATTGCAAGTAATTCTGCTAATTTAAATGATGCTACTCCAGAACGAGATATATCTAATAACAAAATTAGAGATAATTTGTCTTAAACATCTAAGCTAATTTTTATAATGGCAATCCAAATTCTAAGACAAATCATTACGTTATGCAGGTTTACAGAAACCAATTTATATCTGAGGAATAAGATCTTTCACGCATCTGGTATGAAAAAGGAAACCGGAACTGAAATTGAAATGATCAACTTCAATGTTCTATGTTGAAAAAAGTTTAGAGTATTAAAAAGTCATCATACATTTAAAAGTATATATCTTAAGCCCTTTTGTATCCTCTCTCCTCCAAAACCTGATGAGAAAATTTGCCATCTCACTTGTCTGTTTTGGCTCTGTATCTTTTGACTCTACAATTAAAATGATGACTTTCAAATAACACCCAGAAAGTTTAACTACTAAATTTAGGAAAAAAATTACCAACCACCCCCAAAATGGATGGTAATCAACTATGAGGAAAAGATTAATCTCCCACCTCTTCTGTCTCCTGATACTGGATTTAATAATTTAGTTCTGGTCTTGAGGTCAAATGATACTTACAGAGTCTCTGTCACTAAATTAGATACCTTTTTAAACCGACTGGCAGTTCGACAGGTCAGATATTCCATGAACCCTTGGGCAGAGGTACGAACACCTTAAAATGATCCTGTCAGGATTTCTGGCAAATGAAGATGAAATTGAGACACTTGTTCTGAATCTATTTTTGTCAATCTGTGTTTGGGACTGGGGAGGAAGGAATAAGCATACCTACATGCAGTGTGTGCAAATCCTCTCTCTCATTTGTCTCATTCATGAAAACCAGTCTCTGGGTTAGATTTTTGGGGTTGAGTTAGGGTTCACACATAGTTGACAGTTTTACTCAGGTTAAAATACAAATTTGAAATACGTAAATCTAAACCTGGGAGTAGCTATTCTAGAATAACTCTTCCAGAACAGCTCCCTCGAGTCCCTGCGGTAAGCACTAACTCTTTAAGTCTACAACAGAGTTACACCTGCTCTGTTTTAATATAACAGTCTTTTCATTCTATTACCTTTCCAGCCACTGAAGTCTTACCAGGGTTTAATTTTCTAGGCTGAGTCTGGCAGGCAGCTGGATGCTTGCCAGGCATTACCCTGTTCAGCCCTGGAATGTCCACGTATTAAAGGCTCAAGTTCTTGTCTACATTCTTACCTTGTCCCATTCTGAAGAAAAAAAGCAACCTGCTGAGGCAATCAATTCTTCTTCCCACCAGGTCATTGTTTAGCTTTTAAGCATCCCTGATTGATCTGCCCAGCGTTTGTTTGGATACCAATTCAGTTTCATTGATTTTGTCTTGGTGTCAAGTTCTGCCTGAGGTGCATCTACAGAAAATAGCTTAAAATAACCGGTCTTTTTAATCAGCTTCTAGTTTATTCATACCTTTCATTTATTGCCCTCCATGCATCAAAATGTCAACTGCATTTCGTGTGTTTCTCTTCACATATTTAGCATATCGAACTGCAGTATTCTTTTAGCTGATGTTGTGAACATTTACATGAAGAAATTTATTTCCCATCTCATTGTCTACTCTTCAGGAAAAAATCAGAGAGAGGTTTCTTATAAAAATAGTATAACATGGCTGCAACTGGTAATACTTTCATACCAGCCAGAGAAGTAATAAGCACATCTCGAGGGTGTAGCAAAGCTCAGAATCAGGTATTTCATATATAGAGATATATATATCTCACATGTAAATGCATCTCTGGAGACATTCATGATTCTAGCTTTGCATACTTCATGAAGCAACATACTTCATGAAGAAAGGAATTAGCTGGCAGATAAATCTGGTGACTTTTTTGCCTGCCTCTTGTGTGATTAATATTTTTGTTTGTCATGATAATAATCTAATTTCTGATTATAACCCCAATATTTAATGTGGGTTAAACAGGATTCAGGCAGGCAGCCTCCTCAAAAAGGTGGTATTAAACAACGCCTATGCTGTGTTAAGAAAATCTTACTAGACAAATGAGAACTAATTCTGACTTGCCAATACAACTGATCTCAGCACCTTCTTCTGCCAATTAAAATCATCTAAAACACACATAGTAGCACTATTAAGTAAGACTCTGACTTCATCAAATCATTTTATATACCCTTGTAACTCCTGTTTTGCAGTGATCTGAGTAAAATCCTTGTTTCCAGTTGCTGAAGTGTAAAAATAACTGGAGCCACATTCCTGCCATCACTCACAATTTTGTAGAAACGCAATATAATTATTAATGAGAAACAGTGATCTCCATCTATTAATACAAATGACTGAGTTGGGATGTTTAAATAGTCAGCTATTAACAGAAGAGATAGAAAGATATGGGTAATATAATCCTTCTATAGTACATTTTGACATTGAAAATCCTGAAGACGCTATTACAGCAAAGTTGTCTCAGGTCAAAAACTGAATAATCATTTCCTACCAAGATTAGATCTAAATTGATCAAGAAATGAAAATCATTAATTCTAATATTCTATCCAACTGTTTCATTAATGTACAGCTCCTTCTACTTCTACATACATATTTCTACAGCAGAACACAGTATTTAAAATGACATATTCAATCTCCTCTTGCTGTGAAATAATTACAAAAACATAACCATGCTTCCATTTGTTGTAATTTGAATGATCTTAACTTGAACGTTCTCATGCTACAAATCAGTTTCCATATCAGCATAAAGATTCATAAACATAATCTGCATTGATATTTGAATTTTTCAGT